AACATAGGCCTCCATGGTGCGCCCTAGTACAACCTGAAAGACTCTGGCCACCATCCGGGTGTAAGTGGCGCTTGAGTTCTTAAGACCGAAGGCCATGACAAGGTAGCAGTCAATGCCCTCGGGAGTCATGAATGCTGTTTTTTTGGCGTCTTCCTCGTGCATGAAAATTTGGTGATACCCTCGGAAGGCATCGAGGAAGGACATGATCTCGCACCCCGTGGTCTCATCCACCAGTTGATCAATATTTGGCAAGGGGAAGGGGTCCGAGGGGCACGCCTTATTTAAATCAGTGTAGTCTACACACATGCGGAAGGTGGGCGGCTTTTGTGCGTGGACTACGTTAGCCAACCATGAGGGGTATTTTACCTCCTAGATGTGATTGATGGAGAGGAGCATGGCGACCTCCTTCTTCACAAAATCCCTTCTCTCGGCCGAGAGGGGTCTTCTTCGCTGTTGTATAGGTTTGACCGAAGGGTCCACCGAGAGGCGGTGGGTGATGACCCTTCGGCTGATTCCGGGCATGTCCTCCGGCCCCCATGCAAAAAAATGGAGTAGGCGTGGAGGGCTTCAGTTATGCCGGTCTTCAGGTCTTTAAGGAGCTTGGCTCCAATCTTCAAAACTCTCTCCGGCTTGGCCGGATCGAGTGTGAAGTCTTCTACTTCCTCGGCGGGCTCAGTCCTCGGCCTTTTCTCTTCTTCCTCCACGGCTCTGGTGATGGTTTCAACACGGAACTCGGTATTACTAACCTTCTTTGTCACTTGAAGGTAGCAAGCGCGGGCAAGTTTTTGATTCCCCCTTGAGTACCCGACGCCTCCTTCGGCGGGGAACTTGAGGCACAGATGCCTCATGGAGATGATGGCTTCGAGGTCCTCGAGGGCTGGTCTGCCGAGGATGATGTTGTGGGCGTAGTCGATGTTGACGACGACGAACTCCACTTCGATCTTGGCTCTATGGAGCCCGTCGCCGAATAGTACCGGGAGGGTAATGACCCCCTCGGAATCAATGGTGTCTCCGGTGAAGCCGGCGAGAGGGGTCTTGATGGGCCGAAGGGACCCCCTCTCCAGATGCAGCTCTCTGAATGTGCTGAGGTGCATTACATTGACGGAGCTACCCGTGTCGATGTAAGTTCGGTGGATGATGGTGTTGTTGATCTCCGTACGGATGACGAGGGCATCCCTGTGCGGAGAGGAAGCCGGGGGGAGATCGGCGTTGGTGAAGGTGATGGTTTCCTCCCTCATCCGCTTTACCGGGGGGCATATGAGTGACTTCCCCCACGTATAGCGATTGAGCCCACTTCTTCCGCTGGCTGGTGGAGTCCCCTCCTGTGTTACCTCTAGTGATCATATAGATGTGGGGCTTTTTCTCTTGGTACTGGCTGCACTCCTCCTGCTCATCGAGGTTTCCAATCTCCCTTTTCTTACCCTTCGGGTCGCCGAGGGGGATGGTGTTTGGGTTAACCCAAGCGTTTGCTTTCTTGGGGGGGCTGGTAGTGAGGGGTCCCCTGAGACGGAGGGCCTCTGATGATTTGGGACAGGTGGCCTTCCTGTATCAACCTTTCGATGGCCGTCTTCAGCTGATGGCAGTCGTCGGTGTTGTGTCCTTTGTTGCGGTGGAACCGACAATAAGGATAATTGGGGTTGATGGTGTATACCTCCAGGGGTGCGCGAGAGTCGCGCTCCACAAGGCCCCTCTCCTTGGCGAAGTCTAGGATGACACTGACAGGGTGCGTCAAGGGAGTCCAAGGGTGCTCCAAAAGAATGGGTTGGGCCCAAGCCTTCGGGTTTCCCTTGTAACCTCCCCCGGGCTTGGCTTGGCCATGCCGGGGGCGATCACTGGGGGGTGCCGAAACCTTGGATTGATTATGGGGAGCCCTCGGCCCCCGGTTGCCTTTGTCATCTGGCCGAGGGCGTTGCTGATCGGGGTTGTGATGGCACATTTCCACCTCCTCAGCCTCGGCGTATCGGTCCCCCCGCTGCAGGGCCCTTATGTAATCGCGGGGAGGTTCGATGATGAGGCTCCTTGAAAAGTTCCTGGGGCGAAGGACTGTTTGAAGGAGGGTCAGGAGGGTCCCATCGTCAGCGCCATCAACTTTATCCGCCTCCGTCCTCCAACGCTCCAAGAAGTCCTGAAGGGTCTCCTCCTTCCTTTGTCTTACTGTTAGTAAGTGGGAGAAGTGTTTCCTTGACCGGCGCCTCCCTGCAAACCGCGTCATGAAGGGTTGGGCGAGTTCTTGCCATGAATCGATGCAGCCTTCGGACAATCGGTTGAACCATTCGTACGTTGGTCCCTCTAAGGTGGAAAGGAACCAATGGCACAAATATTCGTCCGATGCCCCCACCATCATCATGTTGTTTTGGTATCGGCTGTAATGCTCCTGGGGATCTGTCTTCCCTTCATAGGGCCTGATGGGTTGCTGTAACACTTGAGATTTAATTTAAATGGATTAATAGTACTACTCATACCAATAAGATGCATCTCCTTTTAAGGGAGCTCATCACCTAAGAACTCCAAAGTTAAGTGTGCTTGCACGGGAGTAGTCTTGGGAAGTTTCTCAGGGCGCACACAAGTGAGGACAAAGTGCGCGGAAAAGGCTAGTGGTGGTTTGTGGGGACAGTACTAGAGGTCTGGAGTAATTATCTCGGGGCCTACGGGCCGGGGTGTTACAGTTGCCCCGGTATTTTTCCGGGATTCGGGCCGCCAATACCCTTGGGGTAAATGGCGTCCTAGTCCAGAGTTGGACGACGGGTTCCCCGGAGCCTTTGGCTATTTTCTTTTGCATTTCCTCCATTTTGGCCAACATTGCCTCATATTTGGGATCTGCATGAGGGGTGGTGACAGCGGTATGTGCCCGATGGGCCTCCATCTCATTAAGCTGGCGCTGGAGGGCCGCAATGATTTCGTCCCTGGGATCCTTCGGGAGGGCCTCCGCCCCCTGCGAACGAACACGGGCCGAGTGGGCCTGATTGATTTGGTGCCTTGCGTCATCGGCGTGAAGTGGTGCCTTGCCTTTGTCTTGATGGGGACGCCTCTCGTCTGCCCTTGAGATGGATCCCCCGCTCTCTTGGGGTCTTTGGGACGCCTTTCCACCGAGGCGGTCTTGGACCCCTCGGTGGTCTTGCGCTCCTCCGAGCCTCTCGAGGGCTGAGGTCCGAGGCCTTTCTTTGTTCGCACCGCGTTGGTCCCAGGATTGGACCTCCTGGGAGGCGGTGTCTTGAGCCATGACCCCTTCATCGTTCCCCACCCGAGGGGTAGGGTTCACGAAGGGGGGTGGCCGTGGGAGAAGAACATCGTTCTCCCCGATTTGCGGTTGAAGGGGCACCAGAGTGCCGAAGGCACTTGGCTTTTGAGTGAGTGTCTGGATGAAGGCAGAGAATGCCGACTGTACGTCGATAGTGAGAACCGGGGGGGTCACTTGATTTTCGCTCTGGTCCCTCCTTCGGGTTTCGATTCCAAAGCGGGCATTGGGAGCGTTTTGTTGGAGCTGAAGGCGCAGGTCAACAGCAGCCTGTTCCAACTCAGTGATGACCCCGCCCTCGGGAGCCTTGTTAGAGGCTCCGGGGGCGTTGACTTCACCGAGGGCCAGGTTGTTGTCCTCAAGGTTCTTGGACTGAGCACGGGTGGTTCTTCCCATTTTGGTAGGTGTTTTTAGCTGAAGGGGAAGGTTTCTTACTTGATTGTTCGACCTCTCAACGAGAGCACCAAATGATGGATAAGTGTATCCGGGGGGTATCCATCCGAGGGGTTATCGCGGGGAGTAACTAGAGAGAAGTCAGAGCAAAAGTAAGAGAGAGAATATGTATTGGTGAGAAAGTATTGAGCATATTGAGCATGGATTACAAATGGGGAAAGGGGTGCTATTTATAGTAGTAATAAATGCCAGATAGGGACACGTGTCATCATTCTGATGGTCGAGGGGTCACCTCAACAGGGTGGCACTGGCACTCGCATGTGGCCGCATTAAATGCGGTGGTTGGATGTGACGTTTGTACTCGGTACGTTGATCCGGCGCATGTGGGTGGGAGATTCCTTCGACCGTAGATGATTGACCGAAGGCTCTTCATCCCGGAGGCCTCTAGGTGTCGAGGGCTCTAGGTGCCGAGGGCTAATGTTTTCGCCACTTTCTCTTAGACACTTTGAGTGCTTAAAAGAAGTTATACTGTAAGTTTATGAGCCTTCGGCCATGGGGCCGAAGGTACCCCAGTGTTCGTCGTGGGCTGTTTGGCACTTGGGGCGCTGTGATTTGGGCCTGTTGTGCTTCCTGGGCGGTATTGGGCCTCTGCTATAGTAGTGGGAGTCTATGGGCTGGGGGTTCCTGGGCCATATACTCCATCATTGTTTATCTGCATTATTAGCATCAAAATATATACATGAATTCATTTTCCTCCGGACACTCAAAATCATTTAATTTGACTTATAAATCATATGAATGGTAATTATCTTACCGGTAAGAGAAGCATACAAACTTTGGAACTCCTCACGCAACTTGGATGTATCATAATCACGTTGTGCATAAATAAGTCTATTTTCTAGTTGTTCCATGATATATCCATTTGAATATGGTATTGAGGGAAAGTCTTTTAGACTTTTTATGTTTTTTTGCATCAATTTTTCAATCTCCACAAGAGTTAAATTTTGCAACTTTTGATCACTAAGCTGTAAATCTACAAATGTAATAAACACAATTGAATTTGTAATTATAAGAAATTGTTCATGTGTATGTGTCCACTCTCATTATGTCTTTATCATAAATAATTTAATTTGTCATAGCAATGCAAATGAATGACAAATGAGATGCATGCAATTAACATTATGAAATAGTTTTATTTGAATATATTAATTTATGTAATAAAAAATTTTAATGTATTGATTTTAAATAATATTTTAGTTTTATACGTAGTATGTTACTTGGTACATGGAATAATTTTAATATTTACGGTAAGAAAAGTTGTTTGGGTAATCAGGAAATAATGTTAATTTAGGGTAATAGGATATAAAAAGGGTAACAAAGATCTCCACCGCAGCAGGGAGGTTATCTCGCTTCTTCGAACACAACGACCGGCAGCTGCATCTATCGACGGAGGTAAGAAGAAATGGTTAAGCATAACAATGTTGTGCCAAACGGGCACTTCAGGAAGCATTGGCAAAACTATGTCAAAACCTGGTTTAACCAACCTGCCAGAAAAACCAGGAGGCGCAATGCTAGACATGGTTCACTCCGTTCAATCGTCCATGGGAAAACACTGAAGTACAACATGAAAGTCAGAGCAGGAAGAGGGTTCTCACTTGAAGAGCTGAAAGCTGCTGGTATTCCGAAGAAGTTGGCCCCAACTATTGGTATTGCAGTGGATCATAGGCGAAGGAACAGATCTCTTGAAGGCCTTCAGACCAATGCCCAGAGGCTCAAGACCTACAAAGCCAAGCTGGTGATCTTTCCCAGGCGTTCTAACAAATTTAAGGCTGGTGATTCAACTCCCGAGGAACTTGCAAATGCAACACAAGTCCAGGGTTCTATTTTGCCTATTGTCCGGGAGAAGCCTAATGTTGAATTCGTTAAGGTTACTGAAGAGATGAAATCGTTCAGAGCTTATGACAAATTACGTCGTGAGCGCGTGAATAAGCGACACCATGGTGCTCGTCTGAAGAGGGCAGCAGAGGCAGAAAAAGAAGAAAAGAAGTAATCAGCCCAGCTGCTTACTTATTTAACGTTGTTTGTTTTGGATTTCACCCACATCAACAGTTTTGATATTTTTACCCGTCATTGAGGTTGTGGATCCCCCAAACTAATCACAATTTGTTATTCTCAGACATTTTCAGTTGCTTTAGAAGTGGACCGAGCTATGTTTTGTTTTCGGTGCATCATTATTGCATTAAGCTTTCATCAAAAAAAAAAGGGTAACAAAGATCTACAAAACTAATCATATATATTCTTTATATTCCAATTCAAATATAAGGTGAATGAAATTTAGGGTGATACTTTTATGACAAATCATTGTCACTAAAGAACACAGACTGCTCATTGGAAAGGTGAAAGACAAGCCTTTCAACTGCTGGAGACCTACCATGAATCTGAAAAGAAAAAATCCTCCAGCGGGCCTCACATGGTGAGACATATTTGCAATCAAGATATTGCTTGATCTCATCAATAGTCTCATTTTGTGGCAACTCGTCATCCCGTGTTGGAACAATAACGATTGTAATCTGATCATATCCTTTGTGGATATACTTGAATAAGTATTTGATCGAAGTCTTTGATTACACCATTCCATGTTGATATGTGCTTGGTACTTTAATAGCAATGTGGGGTTATAAGGCACAACATGACAATTGTCTATGAAAATATCATTTTTTTTTTCTATTTTCCTTCCATTGTCTCTTCAGACTTCACCTATATAGGATAACCATCTTCGTCAAGTGTCATTGATTCCTGAAAAATTGTAAATGTTATATATTTCTATTTAAAAGTGATTACAATTATCTTAATTTAATACTTCTTAGGATAGCTAATGTCATGTATGACTTTGATAGAGTAAGGGGTTGTTTACTTATGAGTTAATAAGCTTAATGAGAAATGCGACTTAATCGTTCGGTCATTAAGTCATGTTACCTTACGACTTAATTGAAAACATAACTTATTCATTCAGTCAAAAAAGTGACTTAATCATTAAGAAGTGAAAAGGCACTTCTTGTCATTAAGACGTATGTTCAGTCAGTTTTTTTATATTTAATATGGAATAGATATATGCTAATAAATGACATTATTCATTGTCAATATAACTTAAAATAATATTAAATTGATTAATTTACTATATTTGGATGGTTTATTCATCACACAAAATTGACAGCTTCATATACAAACATCACTTAATCCAGAAAGGGCTTAGTAGGAAACAAAAAGTAAACAGCCCTTAAGTTTTGAGTAGATTTTTTCAACAGTGTAGTGCATGTCATTTTCTTAATTTATGTGTAAAAGATGGTTTAACCGTGTTAGGAAGTGAGATGGAGAGCGTGAAGAGGAGTATTAGACTTATTTGCGGTAATAATCAACTTCAACTGCAATGGCGTATATATTTGAGAGCTAGACGTGTTAGATATTGTGTTTTTCCTAAAGATTTTTTTCTATTCATTGAAATAGTACTTATAAAATAAAATAAATTTTTATATACAAAAAAAAATAGTACTTATAAATTCATCTATGTACTTCTTAGATTTAAGGACCATTATCATGCTTTTTAAAAGAAACTTTTAACTATATTATAGAATCTGTTGAAATCGACACTAAGAAAAAAATGCACCATTTTGGTTTATTTTCATAATGATACTCAAACGTTTTCTCATGTTTATACACCTACGGCAGATCTATTTTTTGTTGAAGTTGTTCATCTCGCCGGTGCTTTTTAAAAAACATCTGAAGCCCCTTACGTTCATTACTATTTTTTCTTTCATGAAATAAAAGATTTTAAAATATTACGCCTTAATTCCACCTATATATGGTATTGCCTTCGTTCTTGATCCTTGCTTCAAACTTGCTATTTATCAATCATGTTTAGAGTACTATTATACTTCTTTCTACAATGCATTCCGTATGTACAAAGATAAGCTCATAGATCCTCAAGCATAATTTAACGAGGTTAGTAACTTATTTCATAATTTATTTTATGAGTTTCATGCACATTATGGTAACGTACCCCCTCCCCTGAAGCCAATTGCTTCTTTTTTTTAACCCGAAAATCACCTAAAGAGTAGGTGTGGTAAATGTCAGGCACATTTATCGGGTATATATTAATAAAATGAAAGTTTACAATGGTAATTACAAAATACAAAAGAAACAAGAGGGTTAGTGCTTACAAGCCATCTAAGGCCCAATAAGAAGATGGGTTGTTTGAGAGACCTACTAAAGAGGCTATCGTCCAAAGATAGGGAATAAACCGGAATAATAATAGGCCAAAAGGAGCGAATAAGGGATCTGTGCTAGGGTATAGTTTGCGAGACGGTTCCAGAACCATCTTTCTTCGATGAAGTTCGAGACGATTCGGGTAACGATAGAGATCGATGGAGGATGCTCCGCTGATCCCACGACGGTGACCAAGCACCAGCGACCGACTTCTCATCCGATGAGCCAATTGCTTCTTCATCTAAAGGAAAATCGCTTTTGAAATTCACATTTGGTAATCTTTTAAAAAAACTAAATCAACTCTCATTGTTGCACAAATTTTGATTAACGAGTTTTCTTTATATCTAAGTTTCCTTGTGAGTATGAAGAAGGGGAAGAGTTTGACATTCTCCCATGGTGGAAGGAGAAAGAAGGAATGATCCCGATTTATCGAAGATGGTGAAGCAAGTGCTCTCAATGCCGGTTTCAATGGTAGTCGTGGATAGCAAAGAGCTGGCCCGAGTCGGCCCGACCCGAGCTTGGTACTGTTTAAGCTGTAAGGAATAAATGTATTTAGATTTTGATGATGCTAGGTTAATTAGAATTTGAAAGTACCCCATTAGAAATTTTGTATTAGAATTTCTTTTGTAAGTTTTAGCTTAGTCTGCCTGCCAGAGTTCCATCTTGCCTCTACCAGAGTTGCTCCCAGAGTTGCTCACCAGAGAAGCCATCAGAAACTGGTTATCAGAAAGATACCAGAATTGGCAACAGAGACGGACTTCAGAGATTGGACCAGAGAACCTCTTCAGACTCTGCTAAATCCACCAGATTTCGGAAGCCCTTCCAACGGTCGTTAAACTAACGGGAAATCCCCTAACGGTTACAAACCTTTCAACGGAAGCATGGCACTGTACACGCATTAAATGCACATTTAATGTTGTACGTACGAAGAGATATTTAAAGCTGATGATTGACCATGCGAGTATCTTTACGCCCCCAAAATAGCAAGTCGGAGGACTAAACGGTCAAGTCAACAGTACATGCATTTAATGAAGCTGTCTTCTACACTCCAACGGGAAGACTGCTCCCAGTATATAAGATACACTCTGAAGAACTAAGAAGATAACTTTGCCATAACTATTGCCAAGATAAATTTGCGTAAACAACCTTCTTGAGATTAAAACTCCATTCCTAACAAGAAAAGGCCACAGTTGGAAGATAAACTTTCCTATCCTTCATCCAACCAGAAAAGGCAAAGTTACTTGGTTCTTCAACACTTCGAGAGCTTCATATACTCATCTTTTGTGAAGAAGCAACGTTGGAGAAAACTGATTCTATATCAAACACTTCTTGAAAAAGAAGGGACGTCTCAAATTAGCTGGAGTAAGTGAAGTGGAGATACTTCAAGAGACTCAGTGAAACGAGACCAGCCATCAGGAAGCAGGACTGCATCCCGGGTGGCAACTAGACTTGAAGAAGACGAGGAGTGCTTCTTAAGCTCTAGGGACTAAGGCGTTGTAAACTGTTGTTTTTGCCAACTTAGTGGAACAGTGGACTAGAGGAACGAGTTGTTCCTTGAACCACTATAAAAACCCCGGTGTCATTTACTTTAAGTTTTTAATTACTGCACTTAAGATTCTACTGACTAACTCTTAAGGTTGGACTCTGTGTCCAATAGATCTTCCTTCAGAGTTATCAGAAAGGCAGATTGCCTTAGTTTTCTTCTAGAGGCTACCCGGACAGAAACTTATCCGCTGCCTGGTCTAGTTCTGCCATCAGAACTTGACCATCTTTGTCACCAGATTTCGACCATCTCTGATAAGTCAGACTTGACTTGGAGAAAAGTTTAAATTCCTGAACAGTCTATTCACCCCTCCCCCCCCCCTCTAGACTGTTCCCATTACAAACGGGACCAACAAGTGGTATCAGAGCCTCCTTGTTCTTGTAATCTTTTAGGTTACTTACTAAACAAGAGATCCACTTGTTTTAGCCTCTTTAATCTCATATTATGGATAACACTCTTTCAAAGAATCTTATGTTCTCAGTAACAAAGTTTGATGACTGGAGGATCTGCATGAAAGCTCACCTCTGCGCACTCCATGACGAAATGTGGGAAGTTCTGGATGCAGGACCTTTCACAGAGTTCACCAAGGTCAACCCTGAATACATCACTGGTAGTGGTCAACCCCAGATGATCACCAAACTGCGCCATGAATGGTCTAATGAAGAAAGGAGAAAGTACAACCTTGACAACATTGCCAAGGATATCCTCTACAAGGCCATTGATGACAAGTACTTCACAAGGATCAAGAAGTGCAAATCTGCCAAGGAAATCTGGGATACTCTTACCCTGATAGGAGCTGGAGATGAGCAAGAAAAGGACAACAAACTTACTATTGCCATGAAGAAGTTTGAAGATTTCAAACTTCTACCCAAAGAATGCATAGCTGAGATGTATGCACGCTTGCTCACCCTCACTGCTGAAATATCAGAACTTGGGAAGGAACTTGCTCCCAAGGAGATCAATTTGAAGGTTCTCAGAGGTTTACCTTCACCATGGAAGATGAAGGTCACTGCCATGAGAGATAGCAAGGACCTCAGAACCTACAGCACTGAGAAACTCATCTCTGATCTCAAGTCTTATGAGTTTGAGATGAATGAAGAAGAGAAAGAAGAGGTTGAGGACAGAACAACCACTGCCCTCACTGCCAGCACCTCTCAGGTAAATAATTTTGACCCTTCTATTCTTTTTACTGACGAGTATATGGCGGCTTTTGCTAGGAAGTTCAGGAAATTCTTAAAGCCGAAGGATAGCAGAAGTCCACACTCTAGCAGAAAGCCACACCAGAAGTCCAAACCATCAGAAAGTAGTGGAGAGCTTCTCTGCTACAACTGCAGACAACCAGGGCACTTCAAAGTCAATTGTCCACACCCCATAGTCTCCAAAAGGCAAGGCCAGGAAGGAGAA